TTTTTATTCTATTTTATTTGTTTTTTAACGTCCATAGATATGCTGGTGCAACTTCTAGTGTGGATGCAGTTATACTGGTAGAACTTATTCTCCTTCCCATATAGGAGTGAGCTATACCAGTATAAGCACATTTATGGATATAATAGCAACCACACCAGGGGGGTTGTATCACTTTATTTATACCAGTATAGTGGTGTTACCCGCAGTTCTTTCAACCCAAAACTATTGGTAACTTTTACTCTGTGTGAGGTGGTGTCAGGAAATAAATCAAGGGAGATACGGCCGTCCGACCGATAGATGGCTGGCACAAACAGGACAACACAAGAGTGCTTTCACTTAAAGCTAAACTTTACTTAGTCTCAAGCACTTACACATGTCCGCAACAGGTTAGTAAAACACCGCCAACCCTCAATAATTACCGAAGCTGAGAGTGGCTCTCGAGTAGCACAGCGACAGGCTTCTGTAGGCCAAACTTCTGTCTGCTGGTGGGGACCCCAAGATGCGTCCAGAGGGAGTGTCTCTGAAGAAACCCTCCCGAAGAGTCCATTACCTCAAACTTTCCCCCCCTTATTTGTACATTAGTAATACAATGACGTACCACTTAAAGAAAACTTGCTAAACAAGCAGTTTTTAAAGGTCAAGCAAGAGGTTTCCTTCTGATCAACCAGATGTGTTTTTTTCAGTGTGCATACCTTGATGCCCTGCCAGACACATTCCCGAGGGCACATATAGACAAACTTCTTGTTTTTCTAAAATACATATATCAGCAATTTCAACATTCTTAGCAGGAAGGACATGGGGTCAAGCTGCCCTTTCTGTGGCACCCCAAACCTCCCCTCCTGCCTTGGTTAAGCTAGGGCCGCTGCATGGCCAATTTACAGCCTGCTGACTTGGCTACTTTTAGCAATAAGCAATAGTGATTCGGTATGGCCTGCTGGCTTGGCTATTGTTAGCAATAAGCAATCGTGATTCAGGCAAGCGTGATTACTGGTTTGCTAAGATTGCCCCGTACAGTGGTACAACCTTATTTTCAGTCAGAGCCCAATCCTCTACTCTTTATTCTAGCAAACCTCGCACTGAAGTCAATAGGGACCAATCTTTTTAACACAGTTTGGCAAAACATATCCTTTTTTCAAGCCACCTCTACACTACTGATTTCTGCCAGCATAGCTAGGTCAGTCAGGGTGAGAAAAGGTGTGATCCCTGACCAACATAGCTGTACCAGCAGAAGTCCCTGACGTACATGCTGCCATACTGGCAAAGCTGTGTTTTTACCAGCATGTTTTGTTTAATAGCTTGTTTTGTTCAGGAATGGTTTTACTATGTTGGTACAGAAGGCATCTTTGCCAGTAAAGTTGCGTCCACACTAGGAGTGCTTTGCTGATATAGTATACCCCTGTTCCTATACCAGGAAAGCTACCTTAGGTGTGGTCTACACTGGCTGGGGCGGGGGTGGGAGGGAGGGATTGATTTAAGTTATGCAACTTCAGTTATGTGAATAATGTAGCTGAAGTCGACGTACTTAGATCTACTCACTACAGTGTCTTCACTGTGGTGAGTCAACTGCTGAGGCTCCCCTGTTGACTCCGCCTGCGCCTCTCACCTTGGTGGAGTACTGGAGTCAACGGGAGAGCACTCGGGGGGTCAATTTATCGCGTCCTGACTAGACGCGATAAATCAACTCCCGCTGGATCGATCACTGCCCGCCGATCCATCAGGTAGTATAGACATACCCTTAGTGTAGTCATGGCCTCATTTCTGTCCCACTATTTCATGAAATCTGACGTGGTTTCATGCAACATTGGGTAGGTCCTGCTGCAGTAGATCCTGACTAATGAACTAGTGGCTGGGCCCCTATGATTTGGCTGCTAATCCATTGGCTGTTCTAGGAGTCAGCAGCTGGTGACATAGAAGTGAGGTGTTTGGCTTGGACTGCCTGTATCCTCTTTCTTCTCCATAGTGAGAAATGTCCATTTCAGATTGCATGGCACGGCCTCCTGGGTTCCTGCCAAGACCTGCTTGGCTTTTGATTACCTAACACTCTGTTCTTGCTTGCTGCAGCCAAGAGCCACCTGATTTGTTTTCCTCAGTTTAGTATTTTGTGTGCTATGAACCCATTCAGAAGTTTGTGTCTTCAGAATCCCAGAGTGTGGATATTTTGCTTCTGGAAAAATGACAGAAGCTCCTTAGACATTTGAGGGACCCCCGCTAACGCCTAAGAATTTATCAAAGGGGAGGGGCCAAGCTAGTAAAATGTCAGGGTGGGACGACAACTGTTTGAAAACCTTTAAAAGCAATGTTAAATTTCTACATTCTGATATTGCTTTTGAGTCTGACTTGGCCACCCTTACTCACACTGAGTAGTAATTTACACAGGGAGTATTCCCCAATTTTTTAAATGAAAATCCAATTTTTTTTGGTCAAAAACAGACTTTTTTGTGAAAACTCCCCTTTAATTGAAAAAGCCAATTTCCATTGAAAAAACAAAAATGGATTTTTTTTAACCAGTTCTATCCTCTTCATCCTGTACCTGATCCATCTTGCTTAGCTCTTAACTTGTCAAGCAACTTAATGTATGCACTGGTGCAAGATTTTTGAGTTATAATTGTAGGCTTATGTAATTGGTCTTATGCCTTTGGATAAAAGGACAAAGCACTGGACAATGTATTGTGGGCAACAATCCTGCACTGGAGGAGGGGATAAAGATAAGAATGACCTAACTTGTCTTTCTGTGATTCTGTCTTTTCTCTTGGTGGCTATTCTGGCATCTTTTCTTCTGCTTACAGTCCCTTGGCTGTGGCCCATTTGTACTCTTCACCTCCCATTTCAAAAACCAGCTAGACGTAAAGTACAAATCAACTAACCCAAATCCTTATCTCCAGACTGACGATATCTGAGCCATAGATGCGCAGTTTACATTGCTAAGAAAAAAATGGCATCTATTTCTGACAATCAGGTTGCCAAATGTGATGGCTATTTGCTACAGCTACTCTGAAAGTAATCGTATCCTATTAAAGATTATAGGCCACATTATATCCTGATTTATACCCAATGCCACTTACTGGGTGTAAGTTAGGGTAGAATTTTGCTCAGTTAATGCCCATTTCTGTACTGTGACTATTGTGTTTTAATGGGGAAATAGGATCCTGAGGAGTATTTCATTGCACCACCATTGCACCATTTCAAAGGCTTCCTGTCATGATGATCTTTAAGGAGGGATGGACACAGCCCCTTGAGCCCTCAGTGTTGCTCAGAAGGTGCATTTGAGAGAAATGTGTTCCCCCAAGGGGAAAGCACATTGCCTTCCCAATGCTAGGGACTAAAATACAGACTGAAACTTCTATCCCAGGGGTCAGCAACCTTTCAGAAGTGAAAGGTTATGCTCTAATAAATTTGTTAGTCTCTAAGGTGCCACAAGTCCTCCTGTTCTTCTTTCAGAAGTGGTGTGCTGAGTCTTCATTTATTCACTCTAATTTAAGGGTTTGCGTGCCAGTAATACATTTTAACATTTTTAGAAGGTCTCTTTCTATAAGTCTTTAATATAACACTAAACTATTGTTGTATGTAAAGTAAATAAGGTTTTAAAAATGTTTATGAAGCTTCATTTAAAATTAAATTAAAATGCAGAGCCCCCTGGACCGGTGGCCAGGACCCAGGCAGTGTGAGTGCCACTGAAAATCAGCTCGCATGCCGACTTTGGCATGCATGCCACAGGTTGCCTATCCCTGTTCTATCCCATGCTACAGCACACAGACACTAACATGATGTGAAATTTGGGCTGGCTGATAAAAAAACAAATACAATCTTGTGTGTTATTTCTCAGTTGCCTCACTAGGTAACACCATGGAGTTCAACTAGAATATTTTGTTAGAAACAGAGGACATCAGTCAGCTGTGGTGATCCCAATAGACTGAGATTCCTTTCATAATCTCTCTAGGAGCTGAAGTAATCCTCATAAGAGGGACAGAAAAGACCCAGTCATATAAACTTAACCAGAAATATATGAAACTAGACAACAGGAACTATCAGCTTTCTTTAACCTCACTCCTGTTTCAAGAAAGGTGTCCCCTCCTCCTCCTTTCTCAGGATCGGTGGTGTTATCTTTTAATGTAGAGTTTAAGCTCCTTGGAGGAGTGATCTTGGGACAAATTCATCCCTGGTGTAATCCTATTGATTTCAGTGAGTTTAGACATACCAGAAGACAAATTAATCAGTGCTGTGTCTGAAGTGCCCTATATACAGCTACATTTAAACACGTAAAAAAAACCAAGTCTTCCCTACAACTGTATCTTTATGGGTGAAGGGTATTTCCAAAATGAAAATATTTAAGATGGCTAAGAACTGCCAAGAGAAGGGGAGTGGGTATATTGCCTCATGCAGAAGCAGGATGTTTTTTAATAGCTTTTTATCCCTTTGTTACTGATAAGCTTGAAATCAGAGCATCATGTTCTTATGCCACTGCTCTAATACTGTCATAAGCTCTTCCCTAAAGTGGCAGGCACCGATCTTCTATGGTGAGAGCTCATGTGGGTGCTCTAGGACTAGCTTTTAGTTATTGTGTTTGCTCACTAGAGTGATTTACCTCTATCAACTTTAAATGTCCTGCAATTAGAAATTAATTGACATGATTGTACGTCTCATTAATACTATACTTTACTATTTCAAATGGTTGAGGAACTTGAGGCACATAGTTCTGGGACCATATAGTTCAAGAATCCTGGCAGGCAGAAGGAAAAGAGAAATGTCTCCCAAAAATGCCAGACACATGGGTATCTGAGCTACGTTAAGAAGCAGATTCTGCCACCTTTACTCATACTCAGTAGCACTGCTGAAAGATCAGTGCTGCTGGTAATGGATTAAGGTACTACTGTGCATGTAAAGCAGGACACGGCCCTCACCATGGTTGATGCAAGATACTCTAAACCTACAAAGTGAGGGGAAGTGTCCACTACCTTTAAAATGATATTGCTCAGATATGTTAAACAGGAGAAACTGACAGCTTGTCTCGTTTTAATTAGAAAGGTTTTATTAGAAAAGTAAAAAACACACCCAAAAAACAATACAATTGCATAGAAAGGCTTGCACTCGAACATCAAGTGTATTAATGTAAACTGTACTCAACAGGAGCACTCCATGGCATATCATATAGGTTGTTTGTGAGGGTGCGAGCATCACGTCACACCTCCCCCTCTGGCATGCAGTACTGGAGTGCTGTAAGCAGCTCCCAGCAGCGTTTTCTTCAAGCATCAAAAATATGAAGTGATGACAACAACCCAACAACTCCTGCTTCTGCATTCCCTTGAAGTCTATATATAGCTGCCCTAATGTCAGTAGTGGAGCATCATCTTTGATCCAAATACATATACTTGGTCCCATTAGACCTAAGTTTAACCACCATTCACTCATACACATGCACCACCCTCCCCCTGCAAAAAACCCCAACATTGATTACAATGTATTTTGTTATTAAAAAAAAAAAAAAAATCAGCCAGGAATAGGGAGACTGTCTACCCCCAAAGCAGCCCTGCTGCTGCATCTGGCATCAGCACTGTCACAAGACTAACTGAAGAAGTCAGTACAATAAAAAGTTGTCCTACAATCACTGAAAGGTTAAAGCTAGCGCTCACTTGCTATCTATGCCCACTCAGAGTGAGGGAAGCAGGATGCAGTTTTGTTTTCCAGCAAGCTTCCTCCTTGCCCTCCCTCTCTGTTTGGACTATTTCCTTCTATAATTGTACAGTCATGCTCCAAACTAACCGAGGCTCTAAACAGTTGCCACATTTTAACCAGCTTATGTTCACTTTTTCAAAGCACTTAAGTAAGTTGTCACGCCAGTTTCTCCTGGTGCTCTACGCCAGTTTAAAGAGTAATGATCGGTTATTCCTCTATGAGGCGCCTTCAGCACTCCTCTATTAGCAACTGCTCAGAGCTGTAAAGCTTCTTTTTAATGACTCTGAATCCAGTGCTCAGCTTCAGCGACTGACTGAAGCCTGGAGTGAAAGAAGTCCCAGAGCTAAGAAGTCCCTGGATTTTAGGCCAGAGCCGGGAGTCCAATCTTAACACAAGGGTCAGCTGGAAAGTAGGCACAAGATTCGGATCCACTGCAATCTGCCCCACACTGTGACACCCCTTCCCTTGTTCAACACACAGGTCAATGAGGGCACCTCTCAGGCCACAGGGCTCACTATAAGCCAGGTGAAGCAGCTCTTTGCTGACTTGAGTGACGAGTTGGCTTGGCATCACAAGTCTGGAGCAGCGCTTGGAATTGATGTTGGCTTTGTTCAGACTGACTTGGATTAGTTTCATGAGATCGTTACATAGGAGTTCGTCTTCAGGGTCATTTAACAAGTCAAAGTCTGGCAGAGAAACTTCATCCAGGTACTCTGCATCTGTGAATGAAAATCAAAGAAGGCAGGTCAGTATTGGCCAGTTTATTAAGCTGGTTTTTGTGAAGTGAGCTGTGGCTCACAAAAGCTTATGCTCAAATAAATTTGTTAGTCTCTAAGGTGCCACAAGTCCTCCTGTTCTTTTTCCCTAGTAAAAGTTGCTACAAAGGACCAAATGTTAAGGGCAAGAAAACTGATCAATTTATGAACTGAAGCAGCTTTTCTGCGAGAGAATAATATACAGTACTAGGTGATAAACAACAGGATTGTGGGATAGGGAGAGAAGGGCTGCTAGAGTTTTATGGGACAATGTTTTTATCAAACTTAAACCTCTCCCATTGTGTATTTTAGCTTTACTGAATTACAATTATCGTGTACATTCATTTTGCTATTTTAATTGTGTTTTAAAGTATATTTACTGGACACAGTTTAGGAAAAAAAAACTTAGATTTTATTTTTTAGGACGTGTGGGCCCTGCTTAAATTTGGATAATGCCATCCTCAATTGTTCATTATAATTTGACTCAAAACACGAAAGAACGTGACCTTTCAGTCCTCACATCTACAGTACGTACCTCCTTCACAGCTCAAGCTGCTGTCCAGGGATTCACAATCGGAGCTCTCCGCTCGGACACAGCGATCGGGCACTTCCTGCTGCCAGCTCTTTCCCCGAGAGAAGATGGGTGAGGGCTGGTTCTCTCTCTGCTCTGGAATGGGAGGCAGCGAGGAAGAGAAGCTGTCCCACACGCCTGGCATCGCGGCGGATGGTCACCCTCCGGAGTGGAAGCGGGGACGCGGAGATCAGCACAAAAGACGGGTCCTGCAATCCCAGGCCAGCACAGAAAGAGAGTCAGTAACGCACGGCCTGGGGGGGGGGGGGGGTTTACACCGATGGGGGCGGGCTACACTTGGGGGGGGGAGTTACACCGATGGGGGCGGGCTACACTTGGGGGGGGGGGAGTTACACCGATGCTCATCTAGCGAAACAACCCGCGGGGAGAATGACAGGGAGCGGCGCGCTGTGTCCCGGACAGGCAGCGACACGAAAGGCAATCCCAGCGCGATACTTACAGGGCCGCGAGGTCCGGGCTGGGAGCAGGCGGAGGCGGGGGAAGAGGTAGTCGAAGGCTCCCGGGGATGCTGGTAAGGGCCAGGGTAGTGCTGTGCAACAGCCCGCGCACGCTCCGCGCTCCCCCTTCTCGGCGCTGGTGTCCCCCTCCCTCGCCTTGTTGAGCCCTTTAAATAGACAGCTCAGGAGCCGCCCCCGCCCCCTCGCTGCTCGGCCAGAAACCCCGACCCGGCCTCCAGTGCCGCAGCCACCAGTCGCCAGCCGGGAGTGTGTGGCGGGCTCGGCCAATGGCAGGCAGGCGCACGTTCGCAGCGTTCTCTCCTGCCCGGTTACAGCAGCCCGGCCCCGCCCCCCAGTGTGGATGGAGTCTGAGTTGCAGGCGGGGGGACCTTGGGGGTGCGCAGTGACACGATTGAGGGGGAGGGAAGAAGGGGGGGGTGTTTATTAGGGAGTCTCAGGGCTTGGTTGGGCTGGGGAATGACACGGAGCGAGCCCGGGCACCCGAAAGGCTCGTTCACTGCGGAAAGCATGAGCTTCTCGTGTCTGCTGTAAGCTAGCTGCTATAGCCTGGGCTACACAAAGTCGCATTGCATCGTACTGGGGGATCTGAGCCCTCGCTTAACTGTCGGACCCAGCGCAAGTGGGTGCCTTTTGCCCGTAGAGATTGAAAGGCTGAGGGTGGTGATAGGAAGAATAAGTGTTACTTATTTTAGCCAACTTTTATTCACCTTAATTGTGCCCCCGCCCCTCCCCCACACGTCCCATCCCCCAGTATCATGCTGTGTTTGTCTTGCTGGATGATTTTTCCAAAGGAAGACGCGTTCAGACGGACACTCTTCGGGCAGTTTGGGAGAAACGGGATCTGTGTTCATAGTTAGCCATTTGTAACGTGAAAGAAACCTTCGAATATCGGTTGTTAGGTGCTGTAACAAAGACAAGTGGTCGCTTCATATAAAATCAGTTCAACCCACTCCAGGCTAAGAATAAAAATCTCCTTGCTGGTAGGTGTTTCAGTACTGGGGTTCAGTACTGGGTTTTTAAGAATACGATGAATTCGGATTGGTATGTATAAAAACCCATTAATCAACTGAACACGAAAGATGCAACCGTAATTTTCATCAACTGTTTCTGATGCAATCTTATAGAGAGGCGAAGTATGAGTTTATTTTCAGAAATCCTAAAGATTTTTTCCCATCCCTAACACACTATAAACGTGTGCCTTTCCAACTGTACATTGAGCTTACACATTCCAGCCTTGGATTATTTCGTGCACAATCAAGGTCAGGACATTCCTGCATGGTTTTCCTAACTTTTAGTCCTTAAAGCCTGTTGAGAAACTAGTTTATTGCACCTCCTTTACGTCTACTGATTTTTTCGTGGGGGTGGGGGAGAGGGAATGGTGGAAAGGGTTGAATGCCTGATCATGCTATTGATCATTCGAGTCGATAACTTCATTTGTTTGTTGCAATTCTGCTTATGGGAATTCAGGGGACACGGTGAATTCTGCACGTATAAAGCTAACTCTAGGTAAACAATCCGACGCTAGCTGCAGCCCATCCGCGGGGTCCTAGCGTCCGTCCTGAACTCTGTGGCTGCTTTGTGTAAATGATTGGGAGAATTGCATCATGAGGAACGGGTTGGAGAGAAAAAATCCCCAGCGACTGCAATAAAGCAGATCGTTTCATCAGAGAGAAACTAGCAAGTCTACAACAGGAACAATCAACCGTATAACCTTTAAAATGAGGGCTTAAAGCTTGACGCAGTCTAAGTCTGCAAGAAAGCATGATTTCTTCAGTTTCACAGATTAAAACCTAAGTGTAGTACAGCCTGTGAGCTCTTTGATTATACTTTTAGTTATTATTAATTTTAAATCTTGAATTGATGTACTAGTGTGTATGTAGTTAGATAGCTACCTTTTCTGGCCTAAGAGCCACACTCCCCTCTGCTGTCCTGCATCTCAGTGCCACAGAGATGAGTCCATGCCAGCATATTCAGTACACAGATTGTTGAAAATATTTCTGAAAATAAGAAAATAAACTCTCTGAAATAAGAAGGAGGTGGGGGAGCTGAAACAAAATGGAGAAAAGAATAAACATTTCCACCTAAATTGAGGAACAAACCACCTAATTAATAGTAATAAAAAGCCACAAACCAAGGAAAAACAAAATTGAAAAACAGTAAAATAATTTCCATAAGTAAATAGAAACAATTACACACAAGGTCTCCCCATTATAGGCCTGGTTTACACTTAACATTTTGAGTGGCACGCTCCCATGAGCGCTGTAGCTATGCTGACCTAAGCCTTAGGTTTCTTCTTCACCCTAGCTACTGCTGCTTAAGGAGGTGGATTACCTACAGTGAAGGAAAAAACCCTTCCATTGCTGTCGGAAGTGTCTGCACTGTGGCATATAGAATCGTGTTGCTAGCACTAGAGACAAATTCAAATGTAGAGGGGTTTGTGCCGTGTGCTCATCACAGGTGCTTTCATTCTAAATTGGTTAGCAGAACGTCTTTTTCCATAGGTTCATAGCTGCTGCTATGAGATGAGACACTAACTGGAGATAACTGTTGGTCTTGACCTGCCCTCATTCAGACAGTAGACAGTTATTAAACATTTTGCTGTCTCTCCACATAGCTCACCAAATCTATAGCAGGCTGCTAGAGGCTGAAAGTCATTTCTCCTGGATAGCTGTCTGGTAGCCTCAATTAACTGAATTGGTGGTCCCTGTGCAGTTCCTTGAGGTCAACATACACTGTAACCATGGGCATACTTGTCAGGCCCAACAATCAAAGGACTGAATGGGAACTACAAATCAGTGGTTTGGGTAAACTGAGGACTTCAATCTTGAGTACTTGTGATGATCCTTGACCCAGCATCTTTCATGAATACTGATTTTACTTACACACACGTGCATTTTGCTGCCCTTACCACTCTTTTTTCTGTCTTAGGTAACTGCCTGTCCAGTCTATATTTGTCTGTAAATCTATATACTAATGATAGTCCTGGTTACAACATTTGAGTCATATCCCCTGCTGTTTTCTGTCTGGTTAGCTATGGACCATAGCTATAGAACAACTTAGCATTGCTGAAGATGTTGACTATGAAGGAGGGCAGGGATTATGGACTGAACTCTGGTTCTCAGGTTAATGGAAACAGCATTGCAGAACACATCTTGGGGTTGTGGGGAAGCATACTATTATTGATAAATTAATAAATTATAATTTCTGTGTATTAAAGTATGTGAAAATTGCAAGACAACCAACACAGCATTAAATACAGACACCTTCCTCTCATTCACTCTGGTTTACTTCTCCTCCTATTTGTAACCACATAACATTCCGGCAGCAACTACAAGCAACTGCTTCCGTTAAATACTTTCCTAATATTATTTTTCAATGGAAGCAATTGCTGTCATTTGCTACAGGGACATTGTATGATTGTGAATGGGATGGGAGGTAGTTCATCGGATAGAAAATGGGAGAGGAAGTGGGTCCATGAAACAGTCTCTTGATTCAGATGTAATCCATGATATTAAAATGTTTGAGAATACCTCTTTTATAGACATTTTTCAGTATCTTTATTGGATACCACAAAACAAGGTACCAGCCATTCTACAGTATGTTAACATGCTGTTCCCACTCTCTGTGGCTGCCTGTGAGTGTAACAGCTCTGTGCTGTGAAATTGACCTAACCTAGTCCGAAATTGGTCACTGCAGGTGCAGAGATTGCAAACAGAATACATTTAGCTCTCACATTTTCAGACTTAAACCACATTCATTCACTGATAATTGTATCTTTAATCAGGCTTCCTGGCAATATGTGGGTTAACACAAAACATGCATGTGCAATGTATAATAAGAGCATTTGCTTAGTAGTTGACACATTGGGAATTCCATATGAGTCACCTGGTGTTTCCAATTGTTCCCACAACTCTAAAAAAACCCACCATTTTGGCTGAAATTTTACATGCTTTGTCCCAGTCCAGAGCTGAATTTATTATTTTAAGACTGAGTAAAATCAGTTCACTCATTTTTTTAGTTGCACAAGCATGGGGAAAAGTATACTGGGCCTGCAACCTTTGTACCTAACCCTTATTTCAGTGACTTCCAAAAATCTTTCAAGCAAATATTCGCTTATACCAGTATCTAGTGCAGTAAGGTCCTGATCCTGACTGTTGATTCATTCTCTCTTTCTTTTGTACTACTCAATATTGTATATCAAATATGGGCCTCAGAGCACAGGGTCATAGTTGTAGTGGATGGTTAGAGTATTAACTGTGATGGTTATAGGTTTCAGAGTAACAGCCGTGTTAGTCTGTATTCGCAAAAAGAAAAGGAGGACTTGTGGCACCTTAGAGACTAACCAATTTCTCTAAGGTGCCACAAGTACTCCTTTTCTTTTTGTGATGGTTATAGTGTACAGTGCATGGTTATACTGCATTTCTGAAAAATGACTTGGTCTTTTATTATATAAAAGATGATTGTCCAAAATCCAAATTAAGCTTTGTATATATATATATATAAAGGAGTAGCTTTTTAAATGTTTGACATTTTACTGCACCAAGAGGGAATGTTGTTTAGAGCAGGGGATGATGAGGACTTGTCCATAATTCAGGGAAGTGCTTTAAGCTATACTGGCAAAAGCAATCATTAGCTGGTATAAACTCTGTCTCCACGGGGGATGAGGCAGTAGATGTTGCCAGTATTGCTCCGCTGGTATACCCCAAAACCTTTTAAGTGTGGACAAGGCCTCACTGTATGATACTTGAAAAGATCAAATTAATCTCTTTTTGCTTCAATTAACTAATCTGTAAAGTGGGGATGGTGATGTTTCCCTATCTCTAAACTGGTCATGTGAGGATTATTTAATGTTTATAAAACTCTTTTGAGATTTCCCTGCAAATCGTGTTATGTATTTGTAGATCACTATTACTATGAACTTTTAAAGATTAGAACCTGATAAATGTTAAATATCTGGGAGAAATGGCAAAATGAAGATCTCTAATATGTTTGTCTTACTGTGATACTGATTACAGGTTTGTTATTGACATTGACCAAATTCTTAATTTGTTCAATGAGCTATCTTGGGCACTGCCCTTCCTGAGCAGAGACTGATAATAGTGCCACAGTAAGCAGAGTGGAGTATACATGCAGGATACAGTAG